CGGTCTTTTTGAGACAGGGTCTCCCTGTAGCCCCCGCTGGCCTGGAACTCACTCTGTAGACCAGGCTGGCCTTGAGCTCACAGAGATCAGCCTGCCTCTGCCTCCAGAGTGCTGGGATTAAAGGTGTGCGCCACCATGCCTGGCTTCACACATAAGCTTTTATCTGAGGTCTAAGGAAGGCTGAAATTTTTTTCTCATGGCCCTTTTCCATGTTTCTTATATTTCATATATAAAATCTGTGAGATGGGCTGAGTAAATGGCTCAGTTTTGGATAACAATATTTGCTGCACTAGCATGAAGATCTGAGTTTTGTTAGGTTCTTGGCAGGCTCCTAAAATGGCGGTGCAGCTCCCCACAGTCTAAAATGCAGGTTCAAACTTAGCCCTGGGGAAATCCCTCTGCTAATGGGAGACCAACCAATCCTGAGCTAAACTGCCCAGTCTGTGTCATGAAAAGTTACCCAACCACCTAACTGCCTATAAAAGATGTCTGACTTCCCCTGCTTGCTGTTGTTTCTCTGCTCCCCAAGAGGCAGGTCTGTTTGCTCTCAAATAAACTGCTGCCCCCCATGGAGTTGTCTGGTCAGTCGTCTTCGCCACTCTGCTTTCATACAAATTTCAGTACCCAGCAATCATGCCAAAAGCTGGGTTTGACTGTGTGTGTCTGTAATCCTAGTGCTGTGGTGGGCGGAGACAGGAGGATCATTGGGGCTTGTTGGCCACCAGCGTCGCTCCAGGTTCAGTGAGAGACCTGTCTCAAGGGAATAAGGTAGACAGATTCATAGACTAGGACGCCCAACAGTCTCCTCTGCCATCTGCTGGTGTGCGCCTACACACATGCACACATATGCCTACCACACACAGGCACTGTTACCAAAATGTGCATTATACCCTGTGGCTTTCACCATGGAACAGTTTTGGTGATCTGCTATTCAGTCCACTTAACATTACATTCCATGTTTCTCCATTCTCTTGGGAAGAAAGCAAATGATATATGGAGTTTTATTATTTTGTTTTTCATGTTTTGTTTCATCTTATTCCAAATGCAAGAGTTTTGTAAGAACCAATGAGGAAAATTTAATGCAGAAAAATCACGTAGTGGTGACAACTTAGAGAAGTAATGAGTTAAACACAATTCCAGCTTTGCTGCTGAGAGACCTGAGTGACTCCATCTTGGATAAAACCTCCATAGGACTAACCCAGCCCTGGGCCCTGTTCCAAGAAAAACCACAGTACTTGGAATGGATAGAGAACAACTCCCCTGCCAACGGTCAATTAACCAAGGAGAGGAAAGTACTAAAAGTCTAGATATCTTTTCAGATTTCCTGAAGCCAGCAGTTTATGGTTTGGCACTGAGCTGCAACCAATCAGATGCTTGCCAGGCTGAAGACCCCCTATTTGCTGAACTTGCTGAAATAAACCTATAAAAACCTCTGTCTCCCAAAGCAAGGGGTCTCATATCTGAGATCCGCTGAGTCGGTGACAGAGTGGACCCAAGCCTAAGCTTACAACAATAAAGGAACCCTTGTGTGTTTGCATCGGTCGGCTCCTTGGTGGTCTTTGGGGTCTGCAAACTGGGCACAACACTGCTTGATTTCACACCTTTGTGTCAAGCACATGCTGACCATACATTAGCCGGGGTACAGTTGGCGTTAGAAAACTATAAAGCTACATTTGAGAGTGTCATGATTCAAACATGTACCCCAAAGTCCATGTACTGGAAACAATTCCTAGTTGTATGCTAATGGTATTTGGAGGTCGAGTGTATGGAAGTAATTTTCATTAGATGTGGCCTTTACAGGCTGAGGAAGAAACACCCACATTGGTTCATGTTTCTTGATCACTTGGACAGAAACTTGGCAAAGGACTTGTGCCCCCCCCCAATTCTATGACTTGAATGAACTGATGTGAAAATTTATTTCTATATTTTTGTAAAATAATGTAGCATAGAATTTATGAACACATTCTTTTAAAACCTGAGGAAATTTAGAAGAAAAATCACACACGTGAGTCATTAAAAAAAAACTAGCATAATTACTTTCTAAAATGTATAAAACTTGATGAGTTTGGATGAACAGTCCTATCTTCAAGACCATTTTGGGGAAAAATATATATAATATGCTATTAAATCCTCAAAATCCCACCATGCAAATGTGGATGCAAAGCTGTATCCCTGAGTCATCTTAGAAAAATTGGGGGTATGCATTCAGGTGTAAAAACAAATTTTGGAGTTGAAAAAATGAAAATGAAAATACAGTTTCCTAGGTTATTTTTATAGAAAACATGTTTAGCTTATACAGACATAGACACACAGATACACACACACCAAATATATATTACCATAGTTTTATATGGTTTGAAATTGGGTGGTGTTCATATTCCAACTTTGTTCTTTCAGAAAGGGTCTTCTGTTTTTATAAACTTAGTGTATGGGACGTTATTCTCAAACTGTTCCATCCTGCCTCCCTGCTCACAGATTAATCTCAGAGACTGTCTCGCTTACATATATAGCAATATTCAGTAATCACAGCATATTTATGAATGCTTCTTAATCAGTTCCCCTGCTGAACTCTTGGCTAAAATTAGAAACTACTCTTGCACTGAATAATTTGTATCAATTAAATAATTTACATAAATCATTTTCACATGCTTATATACAGCTATTGGGTAATTCCTAGTAGGTGGGATCGTGAACTGAAAGGAGAAAATGAATCTCTTTAAAGCTTGGTAGACATTACTACATTATCCAATATAGACTGTGTTAACATATATTCCTGAGACTACTGTACAAAATGTGCCTGTTTCCAGAATCTACAGCAGTGTTTTCTTTCTTATTTATATATTTTTTTACTTATTTATTTCTTCCATGGGGGACAGCAGTTTATTTGACAGCAAATAGACTGCTGGGCTACCTCTCCAGGAGCAGAGAAACAGCAGCAGTGTTTTCTTACTCTGTAGTTTTTTGCTAACAGATGCAAGTATCCCTGTGAGGTTTTCATTTGTATCTTTATTGATACTTATTTTAAAAAAATATTTCTCTCTCTTTTGTTTTGGTCTTTTTGAGACAGGGTCTCCCTGTAGCCCCAGCTGTCCTAGAACTCACTATGTAGACCAGGCTGGCCTTGAACTCACAGAGATCCACCTAACTCTGCATCCCAAGTGCTGGGTATTTCTCTTTTTAAACATATTTATTATTTTTATTTTATGTGTATGTGTGTATTGCCTGCATGTAGGTAAGCGCACCCATGTGGTGCAATGCCCAGAGAGGTCAGAAGAGGATATCAGATCCCCTGGAACTGGAGTCACGGACAGTTGTTAGCCACCACGTGGGTGCTGGGAATTGAACTCCGGTCCTTTGCAAGAGCAGCCAGTATTCTTAACCACTGAGCCATTTTCCAGGCCCTCTTATGTTGATATTTTAAAATGGAAGTCTTCCCATACTAGGACCTTTCTGTTCTGATTTTGAGTATTTTCTTTTTCACTGTTGATTTTTCACATTTCATTTCTAGAGAGAGAATGCAGATGTGTTTTCCCTGTTTGTCTTTTGTTTTTGCCTAATGGTATGAGTTGCCTTGAAAAAGTTATTTTATATAGACATATTTGACCCCTCCTCACTGAGGTACAGAAAAGGCAGCACTCGGTTATAAAGGTGTTTCAATTAGCCAACACTGTGTAACAAATACTCCTACAATTCAGGGCTTATCACAGTTATCATCCCTAATCATTCTATAGGCTCACTCAGCTAAGCTAAATGCTTTACACTTGAGGCTCCTCACATGGTTTCAGATGTTACCTGGGGTTTCAGTCATCTGAATTGAAGGCCTGACAGGACATGGCTGGAGCTGGTGTTCACTGTTGAAGGCTCAGGCTATGTCTGCCTACTATGAAGCCTCCATAAGGCCTCTCCATATGATTTGAAGTTTTCACAGCAAATCAGCAGTGTCTAAAAAATAGGTCTAGAGCTTCATAAGAGCTGGCCTCATAAGCTCCATAATGCCATTTCTGCCATATATATATATATATGTTTTTTTTTTTTTTTGGTCCTTTTGAGACAGTCTCCCTGTAGCCCCAGCTAGTCTGGAGCTCACTATGTAGACCAGGCTGGTCTTGAACTCACGGAGATCTGCCTGCCTCTGCTTCCTGAATACTGGGACTAAAGGTATGAGCCACCAGGTCCAGCTTCTGCTGTATTCTTGATCAAGCAAATCTCTAAGGCCGATTCAGATTCCTGGGGTGAACAATGACTCAGTGAGTTTAGCTCAAAGTTGAGGATCATGTTCTTTATATCAGAACAAGGTAAGTATGTTGCTTTATCTGAAGACCTTCAAACTAAAGATGCATAGCTAACATTCAACCCTGACCCAGAGATAAGATAGCCTCAGCAAGGGTCTGGGGATGGCTCAGTGGTTAAGAGCACATTCTGCTCTTGCAAAGAACATGAGTTTGGTTCCCAATACACATGTAAGGTGGCTCACAACTGCCTAGAGCTCTAGCTCCAGAGGGATCCAATGTCTCTGGTCTCCACAGGCACCTGCCCCAACAATGGTTTCTATTAAAAACCAAACAGGGAAACAGCAAGCAAACAGCAGGCACTGGTTCATAGAAAGTCAGCCTGTCAGCTGGGCACATGACCCCACTTCCTAGTTAGTGGTGCCCCTGGGAGAGATTCTCCACAGATTTTTGTCTGAAGAATTACTCTTTTTACATAGGGAATGGCCTGTGTTTGCCTCTCTGACCACAGAAAGGCAGGGTTTTTAAAAAAATCTTTTTCATCTGTGATGCTGTTTCTAGTGGGTTTCCTATGCTTTTAACTGAATTTCATTCCATTAGATAAAAATCACTTCCACAGCCGGGCATGGTGGTGCATACCTTTAATCCCAGGACTTGGAAGGCAGAGCAGGTGGATCTCTGTGAGTTTGAGGTCAGCCTGGTCTACATAGTGAGTTCCAGGCCATCTGGGGCTACAGGGAAACCCTGTCTCAAAAAAAAAAAAAATCATTTCCACAAAAACCAAAACAAGCCTCTGGTTTAAGGGGGCAAAATGTTATGGAAGCCTGGTGTGAAGGCACAGAACTTTAATTCCAGTACTCAGGAGGCAGAGACAGGTGGAGTTCCTGGCCAGCTAGGGCTGCATAGTAAGACCCAGTCTCAAAAAGAAAAAGAAAAAAATTAAAGTGCTATGGGATGACAGCCTTAATATTCATTGAAAGCATTTTGTGCAGTCTGCACTACACACTCAAGCTTTTTGCAGCCTTAAGAGTCTTACAGCTATGCCCTTGGGATTATCTTTCTCTTAAAGGCCACCTTTTTGGGCCAAGCCACTTTGGAAGACCACAACAGAAGAGATATGGCTAAGAATGTTTAACTATAGGAACATAGCCTATCTCTGCATCTTTGGGGAATTAATAAGGTTGGGTGACTAAGGGAACTTAGACCAGGGAACAGGGTAGCCAGCATGGAGCCGGAGTCCTGGGATAGAAGGCTGAGGAGCATGATTCGAAGTCCTAAACTCTGGTATTACAGAACCAGATTGTGGCCTTGAGCCTCATCCCTATACCTGGAAGCGGAGGGAGATACATGGTTAAAGGCCGTCCTAGAGTTACTGGAGAGCTGATAAGGTGACATAATGGGGGTGACTAGGAATTATTTGTGTTCTTGATGGTAGGATGACGGTAGGCCTGAGATTCAAAGCACTGAGACTAAAGAACTGCTTGGCCATATCTGAATGACCAAACTTTGGGAAGAGAGTGCCAGGGACAATGTTTTAGTAAGGGAGGTCCAAGATGGCAGGACCAGGGGCCAAAGACTAAGGAAAACAATAAAGGCGGTTAAAAGATGACCCAGAAAAGGCAACAGTATGGATATCTGAAAGCTAAGGGAGAAGCAAGGGAGCCGTCACAGAGGCCCTGGGAAGATGACAGCTGCAGATGAAACTACACTGGAGGGGCCCCATTTTCTAGACCTTTCTTTTTACCTGGAATCTCTAAAGATACTTCCTGGACACACTCCCCCATGCAAAGGACCAGACTTTTCAATAAATACATGTGTGACTCAGGCTAAGGTCTTCCAAGCAAAGAATTCTTGTGGAACAGTAGACTTAAGAGCCAAGATTCCTGAATCATTCTTCTAATCCTGTCAAGGAATGAGGTACATGGCTTAGGTTCCAGATTTGTAAATAAGCAAAGTTTACTAGAACAAAAGGCCATAAAACATAGAGACAGACAGGAAAGGAAGCAAAGCAAGTTAATGTCCATCAATCGCTTTTAAGATGTATCTTCCTACTTCATGGAAGTGTAAGGATTTTGACTATGAGTCCTCTCCATTGTCTTCATTTTCAAAGAGAACAGAAGGGGTCAGAAGAATGCCCCCAGCATCTTCAGAGTCAGGCTGGAGGGGCAGGTTGAGGTGGGGACAATTCATCTTCCTGTGTCTGCTCGGGGGAGACTTCTGCCTAAAGTCTTGCCCACAGGTCTGGCACACATAAGGCTTCTCCCTTTGTGTGTCATCTGATGTAAGGTGAGGTGTGACTTCTGGATAAAGCATTGGCCACACTGTCTGCACACACACGGCTTCTCTTCAAAGTGGACCCACTTATGTGTAATTAAGGCTGACTTACTGTTAAAGCCTAGTCCACACTGCCTACACATATACGGCTTCTCCCTTGAGTGCTTCCTCTTGTGCCTGATGAGCCCAGCCTGGTGGCTGAAGCCTCGCCCACAGTCTCGGCACACATAGGGCTTTTCCCCTGAGTGTGTCCTCTGGTGTGCAATGAGGTTTGACTTCTGGCTGAAGCCTCGCCCACACTCTTCACACACCATGGGCTTTTCCCCTGAGTGTGTCCTCTGGTGTCTGATGAGATTTGACTGCTGGCTGAAGCCTCGCCCACAATCCTTGCACACAACAGGCTTCTCTCCCGAGTGAATGTTCTGGTGTCTGTTGAGGTGGGACTTCAGACTAAAGCCTCGTCCACACAGCCCACACACATATGGCTTCTCCCCAGTGTGTGTCCTCCTGTGAGAGATGAGAGCTGAACTCTGGCTAAAGCTGTGCCCACACACACCACACACATAAGGCTTCTCCTTCGAGTGTGTCCTCTGGTGGTTGACAAGAGTTGTCCTCTGCCTGAAGCAGCGCCCACACTCCTTGCAGGCATAAGGCTTTTCCCCAGAGTGTGTCCGCTGGTGGGAGATGAGGTTTGACCTGTCACTGAAGCCCAGGCCACAGTCACTGCACACTATGGTCTTCTCCTCTAAGTGTGTCCTCTGGTGCCTAACAACAGCTGACTTCTGGCTAAAGCCTTTGCCACACTCCTGGCACACATAAGGCTTCTCCCCTGAGTGTGTCCTCTGGTGGATGATGAGGTTTGACTTCTGGCTAAAGCCTCGTCCACACTCATTGCACATGTAAGGCTTCTCACCTGAGTGTGTCCGCTCGTGAATGATGAGTGTTGACTTCCGGTTAAAGCCTCGGCCACATTCCCTGCAAACAATGGGTTTCTCCCCAGAATGTGCCTTCTGGTGTCTGGCAAGGCTCTTCTTTAGACTGAAGCCCTTCTTGCACACCCCACACACATACGGCTTCTCCCCTGAGTGGATCCTCTGGTGACTAAGCAGGTTTGTCATCTTTCGGAAGCCCAGCCCACACTCTCCACAGTTGACACCTCCAAATCCCAACAACTCTATTCGCTTCAGCAATTTGTCTGTTTCTTCAGGGCTCCTAGCTGGAGCTGGGCTGGCCTCCAGCTCTACTCCTGTCGTGCCATTCCCAGAGCTGACCTGCTTCTTCTGGAGTGGTCTGGAGAAGGCTCCCAAACTCCTTTTCTTTGTCCTTCCAAATGAAGGCCTGGTGCCTTCTCTCCCTCCGCCTCCTGCTTTCTCTCTCCAGGAGCTCCCATCAGAGGCTTGCTGCTGCTTCTCCCGGTCACTTAGAGATGAGTGCCCTGGTTCAACATGACTTTCTGCACACAGGCATGTGAGGATCCATGAGCTGTGACTGCTTAGCACTTGATCACTTGGCAGGTGTTGCTTAGAGAATTTATGACTAGAGAAATCCAGAGGGCAAGAAGGACCATGGTGGAGTTCCAGCTTTGGATCTGCTACAGAGGAAAGCAGGGGTCAAAATGGAGTCCCAGCAGGGACAGTGCAAATAATGCTACATGATCTCATGGTGAGACTCGACCCTGCTCTTCAAAATGCTTAACACTCAGTGCTAGCCAACCAAGACTTCCTTACACGACTCCTTTCCAGCCCATCACTACATCTCACAATTCTATTAAATCTAGATAGCTACTACAGACTATAAAAGCACCACAGATGGTTTCAGATATGTAAATCAGGCCAATACACAAGTCTCTACACAGTTACTACTACATTCACAACCACACACTGACAGAAATCATGTCTACATGTGGACATGCTTTTTAATGAGAGCTATTAACCACAAGACCCATGTGGAAATGTCTTTCCTGATTACCCTGTGAGGACAAAAGGGACAGACTGAGACAGCATCATTCCAATTCTAGCATAGAAGAAGCATAAGAGAGGAGTTAAACAGAAAGTGCATGATGTGCTTAACTGGGGTCTCCCTACTCTGACAAATATGACAAATCAGCGGACTACTTTGTATCAGAATTTCTACAAGGCAGTAAGGCCTGAGCAACAATCATAGCCTAGGTCCCAAGTAATGTAAAAGATGCTCCATTCTGATGGCCCTTACAAATCTATAAAGTCCTGGTAATTTCCATAATTAGTGTAAATAAAACTTTCCCCAGAAGTCAATGTAAAAGCTAAACTTGGGGGCCAGGGATAGAGCTGAGTGGTATACACAAGGTCTTGAGTTTGATCCCCAAAACCACAGAGAAAGAGAGAAGAAGAGAGGAGAGACCAGCAGACTGAGGCAGGAGGAGCATGAGTTTGAGGCCAGCCTGAGGTACACAATGAATTTAAGGCCAGCCTGGGCTACACAGCAATACCTTATCTCAAAAAAACAAAAACAAAATGCCCCTCAGTATGGGTCTAGCAGCAGATACAGAATTTATGACAAAGGATTATAAGTAGGGAAGGCCAAACAACAGACATCAAGGGGTGACTTAAAATGAAAAGAAAACAAAACCCAGAAAGCAATTCTTTACATTGTACCCCTTATGTAGGAAATGTTAACAGTAAACATATTGTTTCATTGGAACTGGCTCTCATTAGCTGAAGGCAATCAATGACCAACCACTTTGAGAAATTAGCAGATATGGATCTTGCTGAATGTACCTAAACACTCTTTTCTTTACTAATGAATATCAAAGTTAGCAGAACTGTGTATACATCTGCATTATTCTACCCTATGTAAAATGTAACTCTCAATTATAACTGAATTATAATTAGCATAGCTATAATAATTGCCTAATAATTATAGTAAGTATAACTACCCTTTCCTAACATTAAAAAAAAAATCCTGTCTCTTTCTACTTGACAGGCTACTAAACAAATGCTTTCTTTCCCTTTGATCTTTTAATGTCTGGCAAGTAACTGGGCACAATTCCTTCCTGTCAGTACCTTCAGTGGTCTCTATTTCAGACACGGATGATAGTCTGAGAGTCAGTGATCCAACCTGACTCCATGCTATGAACACCCTGACTCAGGACTGGTTCACCAGCGGTGCCTCAAGCCTTGTTCCTCAGCATAACTGAACCCCTATTATTTTTCACCTAAGTTTATTTTGTGTATCCTAGGGTCTCCAGAGTTACACAATTCATAACTGAGTTTGTGTTCCTATTGCTGACCAGTGACCTCCTTGCAATTATGGCAGGTAACTCTGGAGCTGGGAGGAGGTTTTGATTTGATTGCTTGGCTGAGTAAGTCCTGTGGCAACAGGAAGAGCCTCTGGGCCTGTTGTGAAGGAACTCTGTGACTCTGCTTTTGCTACAGGAAAATACTCTCTTCTACCCTAAGGAGAACTAGTCTCCTAACTTCTGTGGATACATATAAAGTGGCTGGCTTGTATTTGCAGTAAACACAATTCAGAATTACAATGGCCCCTTCAGAGCAATTTCAACATGGTTCTAACATCTATATGGAGTGACAGAAGAAATGGGAAAACAAATGTTCAATTTTCATTGGTTAATCCTTTCAGTTGGCTATAAATCTGCCATCGTGTGTACATTCTAGACTATTCAATCTCAGGACAGATTGAACCAAAATATGTTCAGTTCAATAAATTAGTTTACAAAGTATTCTAAATCTGTATGTGCTCCTACAGTTATATCTTTACAAAGACTAATTAACACTGATAGAAACTTAAATTTCAAAGGCTCAGGATTAAAATTAAAATTGAGGGCTAGAGAGACGGCTCAGTGGTTAAGAACACTGGTTGTTCTTGCAGAAGACCCGGGCTCGAATCCCAGCACCCACATGGCAGCTAACAACTGTCCATAAATCCAGTCCCAGGGGATCCGACAGCCTCTTCTGACCTCCATGGGCATTGCACAACGTGGATGCACTTACCTACATGCAGGCAATACACACATACACATAAAATAAAAATAATAAATAAAATTTTTAAAAAATTAAAATTGAGAGCAGTGTATAGAGGGGTGGCTTAATGTAGAACACATACTTAGCAAGTCCCTAGATTTAATCCCTAGCTCCAAAAAAATGAAGTTACAAAAACAGAACTCCCAGGTTTATAATAAGCTGTTTTCTTTGTTTGTTTGGTTTTGTTTCTTTGTTTGTTTCTTTGTTTGTTTGTTTGTTTAGACAGGGTCTTGCTGTAGCCCCAGCTATGTAGACCAAGCTGGCCTTGATCTCACTTACTCTCACGGAGATCTGCTTGCCTCTCTCTGCCTCTGTGCTGTGATTAAGCCACGCTGGGCCTGATTCGCTGGTTTCTAAAGGGAAGATTTCTTGCTGCAGCTGGAATTCCACCTCTAAAGAAGAGTTTAGCTAATAGAAGAGCTTGTGCTGTCAGACAACACTAGAAGGACAAGAGGCACTTGGGACGTATAAACTACTGTTAACGACTTTCATAGCTGGCATATAACTATAACGGCTGGCAGGAATCACAACTTCAAAATACAGTAGAAATCAGGCAGATACAGTCTGTCCTTGACTTCATCACAACATACATGTAATAGTATAACGTTTAATGGTAAAAAAAAACTTAGTTCAAGATCATTTTTTGGTTCATGAGTGTGATGACTGGGAATTCACGGTGTTGCCTGATATGTGCCTCTCACAAATTTTGTTATGACTTTGACACATTACCCATCTGAAGTAAGAAGAAAAAAAGAGAAAAAAAAACTTGGTTCAGTTTCTTAAAGAAAGTTTAAATGTCTAAGACTCAGATAATGATCATAGAGCGCAGATAAACTAACACTGCACTCATAATGCTTACAGTTAGGAACATGTAGACATGTTCAGCTACTCTCTCCTAGTTTGCAAACAGTCCCAGAAATTATGTGACTCTACAGCTACTTTATGCAAAGAAAAAACATATTTTTCAGGCAATCTTAAACATCAACACTAAAAAATCATGCGAATAAGCATTTTGTTTTAAAAATTGTGAAATAAACATCATAAATATTATTTTAATGTTTTGAAATACACATACACTGTGAAATAGCTAAAATTAAACTAAAGAGCATATGCATTACCTCTCAAGAAGGCCAGGATCTGTAAGCTCAACAGTGACGCTTCAGAGCAGCCAAGCCTGCTGACACCTTGACCTTGGACCCCCCCAGAACTATGAGAAAATAAATTTCTGTTAAGCCACCTGATTTGTGGCATTTTGTTATGGCAAGTGAGCTAGTGTAGACACTTTCCTTCCTTGTGCTGACCTCCTTTCCAATCCCTATAGTAAACACCTACTCAGGGCTGGAGAGATGCTCAGTGGTTAAGAGTGCTTACCTCTTTTGCATAGGAGCTGAGTTCAGTTCCCAACACCCACATCCGGTAGCTTAAAACTACCTATAACTCCAGCTCCAGGGGATCTGATGCCCTCTTCTGGCTTCCCTGGACCACTGTACTCACATGTACATTCTCCCACACAGATATACATACATACACATAATTAATTAAAAAAAACTACTCATCTGCTTCATAGTTATCCCTAAGTAAGTCCTATGAAGCTTGCCAGTTATTCTAACAAACATTGGAAGGGCCAAAGTCTCAACTAAAAGATACCACCATGAAAAGACCTGGCATAAAGTTTAATAACTACTACGTGGCGCCACTTACGCAAAATATGCAGATCATATTACTTTTATTTAAAAATAAAGAACAAAGAAACACCATATCAAAAGTATACACAAGAAGGGCACTAAGACTAAGAAATAAAAAAAGTAGTGGAAGTAAAGTATCACGTTAAACAAAGACAACTTTAATGTTAAGTCATTCACAAATGATATAAAATTATAAACTTTTGCCTGGTCTATATAGCGAGTTCCAGGCCAGCTAGGGCTAAAGGGAGACCCTGTCTCAAAAAATGCCCCCCAAAAAACCCCCAAAAACTTTTATATACCTAATAGTGCCCTGACATGAAATATAAAAGGTGAACAAATGGAGAATTTGATATTTATAATCAGTATGATGAGCTTTACGATGTTCACAAACATATAAATAATAGGTACATAAAAAGTTGAAAAATGTGCCAGGCATGGTGGCACACAAGTTTAATCCCAGCACTTAGGAGGCACAGGCAGGTGGATCTCTGTGAGATTGAGGTCAACCTGGTCTACATAGCAAGTTCCAAGCCAGCTGGGACTACAGGGAGACCCTGTCTCAAAAAAAACAACAAAAAAATTTGAAAAAATTTCTTATTATATGCACTACATTCTCTTGATTCCAAATAAGGATTAGTTTAAAGACCCTATATTCAATTTAAAGATTTACTTAAAATTTTAATATTTTTTATGTAACTGCGCATAAGCCTGTGTGTATGGACATGTGCCTATGGAGGTCTGAAGAGGGTATCAGGTCCTCTTGAGCTGGAGTTACAGGCTGTTGTAAGCGACCAGACAAGGGTAGCTGGGAGCTGAACTCGGGTCCTCTACAAAAGCAGACCATGTTCTTAACCACTGAGCCATCTCCCTAGCCCGCCTATATTTAATTTAATGAAACTGAGAAAAATGCATGGGTTTTCTTCCCTATCTCCCTCCTTACACGTATTTATTTTAGCATTAAACAAAATTGTCAAATGAATTTTAAAAATTAAAACACATGCACATATTAATTTCTTTCTACATTTATAATTCAAAATAATACAAAGTAGGAAGAAACAGTATCTCAGCAGCATCTTGCTCCACCTTGTCCAGTTTTTATTCCTACACAGTTAATTACTAGTACTGCTAATAATAGATTTCTATCTTCATATAGCATTAATATACATGTATGTACCCACGTACACTTTCACACATTAAAAAATTGAAATGAGTAATATGTGCTATTCTCAAAATGTTCACCTAATATATGTATATAGTATTTATATAATTTTGTTAAAGGAGGTAAAGGAAAACGATTATAACTAATGAAGAGATGGTAAGTCTCCATAAAAATAGAAAATCATTGTGAAAAGAATTGGAAATTATAGAACTGAAAAATATATTTAGTGAAAATTTCACTGTGAAGGGCTTAACAGTATATTGGAGAAGACAGTAAACCCAAAGGCAGAGCAACAGAAACCATCCAATCTGAAAAACAGAGAGAAAAGATGTGGAGGGAGACTAAAGAAAGTGGGGGTCACGGTGACCAGAATGCATTTTATACATGTATGAAGCTGTCAAAGAAAAAACTCAATAAAAGTGAAGAAACATGGACTGGCTCAAAAGTCCTTGAGACAACACAGAAGGAGTAAACACACATGTGCGTCTAGTCCCAGAAGAGAAGTGAGAATGGGGAGACGAAAACGTGAAGGAATAATGTCCTCAGGCCGTCACACCAGAGGCATGCTCCTGGATGCCACATGTGAAGGAAACTAGCCTGTATGAATCATATTCAGGTTAAGAATGGTGCAAATGACAGCTGATTTCTCAGGGCATGGTGGGCAAAACAGCAGACAGTACTCTTTACGGTGCTACAAAAATAAAACAGCCAATCTAGACTTCTATATCCTTCAACAGCTCGTAAGGTTTGCATGGAGTGGTGCCCACATCGAGTAAAACGTTAAAAATTAAGGTTGTATATCACAGGCCCTTAGAGCAAGGGTTGGCCAACTGTTTTCTTTTTTGAAATACTTTTTTATTGAAACATACTTTGAATATAGTAAAATGCATAGAGGGAACCTGCAGAACTTGAATGAATTTGGGTAAATGTATACACTATGACCTCAACTTTTTCCTAAAGAAAGTAAATAGTTTAGGCTTCAAGGGTTAAAAGACAAACTTGGGGGTGTTATACATATCCTTAAATAAACTTAAAAAAAAAAGTACAGCCAATTCTTAGCTCAGTGTTTTCAGGACTCCATTTCAATTTTCCAACTGGCTTTGGCTTTTTTCTTTCTCCCTCTGTGATGCAGTGACACTGAAGTCAGGACCTTGTTGATGCCAAGCGCACGCCCTGCCCCTGAATTACACCCCAGCCCTCTCAACTGGCATTTTAGCTTTCCTTCCTCTTACTGGGTTTTGCTTTCTTTCTCTAGCTCACTCGGTTTTTGCCATATTCTTGTTGATCTTTTCTGAAATCAGAACAAGCCAAGGCCTCAAGAAGAGACAGGAGACACCCGGAAGGCGCCTACATGTGCCAGAAGCCTGGAAGGGAGGCCAAGGGGTCAAGAGAGCAGCTGCCCTCTCCAGCTCCTCGGCACAACCTCCTCTCTCAGCCCCATCTTAGTACTTTCCCACTCACCTGAACAGGCAGCCTGGGGACATTTTCTTTCCTCTCTCCATGTCTCCTTCCCTTGCTCTAGCTGGGTGATGAGTTTTGGTTTTGAAAATGGAATTCCTGCTCACCAGGAAAGAAAACAGGACTCTAGGCTATGGTGTCAAGGGAACTCTGGCTTTGCCTGTGGAACAGACTCAAAAGCAACAACTGGGGGAGGAACTTCAAAGGGTAGCATGAAGTTACTTGAGAGAATTCAGAAAGACCACACTGATTCTGCTCTGCACTGGGTGGGTGGACTACTCCTGTCATAGTCAGTCTTCAAGGTCAACTTGAGTGGGTGGAGAAGCACCTAGGAGATCAGTCAAGCACACCTCACAACATTGTGTCTGAGGGGCCTCCATAGAGGGGGCACAAAGAGAGCTGCCTTGAAAGTAGATGGCACCACCCCACAGGCTGGGGGCCTGGCTGGAATCAACGAGGAGGAGGAGAAAGCCAGTGCAAAGCCTCGCCCAGCCTCACTCTCTGAGCTTCACGCTGCCATGAAGTGTGCTGCTTTGTTCTACCAGCCCTGCGACCACCATGGACCAGAACTGTGAGCCAGAATACGTAATTCCTCCCTTTAACTTTTCTATTTATTATTTCTATTTCAGGTGTGTGAGTGTATTGCCTACATGTGTGTAAGTGAATCCATGTCATGCAATGCCTGTGAAGGTCAGAAGAGGGTGACTGGATGCCCCGGAACTGGAATTACAAAAGGTCGTTAGCTGCCATGTAGGTGCTGGGACCTGAACCCGGGTCCTCTACAACAGCAGTCAGTGCTCTTAGCCACTGAGCCATCTATCCAGTTCCTAATTTATTTTCTTGGGTGCGTGTTACAACAATGGAAAGTCTAACACATTCTGTCTCGTTTTTAATAAGGAAACTTAGGAAGGAAGCCCCAGCTTAGAGGGAAAAATTCTAGAGATGTAGAGAAACACACACACACACACACACACACACACACACACGCACACACAAATACACACAGAGACAGACACACACACGCAAGTAAATACAGACACAGAGAGAGAGAGAGACAAAGACAGAGATAGAGACAGAGAAGGTTCAACTCTAGATCAGAACTTTCCTAGGGAAACAGAGAACAGAATGCCTGACCAAGCCAGAAAGTAAAATGCCTCTGAAAACACAACCTAAAATCCCCCATAAGGTGGGGGGTGGGATTTGAGTCCCAAGAGATACATCACTTACCCAGAGAGACCAGGTTGCTGTAGTTCTCCAGCATCACCTCTCTGTACAGGGTCCTCTGAGCAGGGCTCAACAGGCTCCATTCCTCCTGGGAGAAATCCACAGCCACATCCCTGAACGCCATGTGTGCCTGTAACACAAAACAGCCCTGCTTGCCTAGAAAGGATGGAGCTCTAGTTGAGGAGCAGGGAGAGGCTGCCCAGATGAGGCAATAAGACCTGGATCCTGCTTTGGGCTGTCACACTGATATCCTGTGTTCCAAGACCTTTAAACTCCTGTATCTACCTAGTCAGTACCATTTATTAACCTATACATTTGAAGTTCTAAGTAGCACAGGGGTTGTGACAGAATGCATAAGACCTGCACAAACTCAAGCCAGTCAGTCTCAACATGGAGGGAGGCACCTGGCAACAAGCCACAGCACTAGCAGAGAACTACTGTCAGTGGACAGCTGCTGGGAGAAGAAGAGTCAGTTTTTCTTTCTTTCTTTCTTTCTTTCTTTCTTTCTTTCTTTCTTTCTTTCTTTCTTTCTTTCTTTCTTTCTTTCTTTCTTTCTGAAATATTTTACTTATTTTATTTTAAGCGTATGAGTGTATTGCCTGCATGTATGTGAGTGCACCCATGTCATGCAATGCTGCAGAAGTCAGAAGAGGGTTTCAGAGTCCCCTGGAACTGGAGTTAAGGATGGTTCGTAGTCACCATGTGCTGGGAATCGAACCCAGGTCCTCTGCAAGAGCAGTCAGTGCTCTTAACCGCTAAGCCATCTCTCCATCCCCGAGTCAGTTTTCTTTAAGTTTGTGACTCCAGGGGATGGACATATACCCTAGAGCATTTGAGGAACACAAATTAGATTTGGTAGGCCTTCAAAAATAATAGAGGACATGTAGCAAGGGGGGAGAGGGGTAGATCTAACAGGAGATGGGAGAAAGGTCTGAATATGATAAAAAAATGTTGTCTATAATTCTCAAAGAATCAATAGGTAGGCTAAATTTTTTTGGTTGTTTTGCATTGTTTTTTGGGGACAGGGTCTCCTTGTAGGCCAAGTGGCTTAGAACTCACTATGTAGACCAGGCTGGCCTTGATCTCATGGAGATCTACCTGTTTATTCCTCCCGAGTGCTGGGACTAAAGGTGTGGGCTACCACATCCAGCCCAAGTAGGCTATTTGTGATATACATGCAAAACTAAGGCACTGTAAATTCTAAAAAGTTGAAATCTAGACAAAACAGCCAACTTCTAAAAATTAATGAACAGTAAAGCATAAGCAACTGAGTTTTAAGAATTTAAAAGACCAAGTAGTCTAACAAATCATATCAGTGTTGAAGCATAGTTGGCCCTTGTCCAAATCCCACAGCCCTTCACGTTTTGGCCTGAGAGGTACAAGAGGGGGTGATGAGGTATCTGAAGCATAGAACCTGAGGTTCAGACACACCTCTGTCATAAACTACTGTCTCTGTTTTCTCACCTAGGAAACATGGCTGGCACACATTAGACTTCCTGAGCACACTTGGTACTCACAGTGGAACCTCTTGACCACTCGGTCTAACAGCTCTTCTCTACCCCCATTCTCCTACCCCTGGCCAGCCTCATTCTTCTTGGCTCCTCAGCTAAGAACACACTGGTGAGATGTTTCTTTGCTAACACTGGGAACTTGGTCTTCAGAACGGGGAAGAACATACTAGCATCCCAAGATAAGCCCATGGGAGCAGAGCCAAGACCTTTATGAGCAAAGGGAGAGAGGAGGCCCTGGCTATGGGTGGCCAGGACTGTTATACCCGGAGAAATAACACATGGAAGAAGTGGAATGAAACACAAAGTTTCGTTTTTACTGTGGTAAAATATACCTAGCACAGGATTTACTGGTTTCTACCACTGAGTCTCCAGCCAAGGCCCTGAGTGCATCGCCAGTGTGCTCCACACATCACCGCTCCATCTCTACATTTTCAGCACTTCCATACAGAAACTGCCTTGAAACAGCAACTTCCCATTTCCTTCTCACCCCTCCAAACACTGCTGATAAAGACCATTTTACACTCTGTCCCCACACATGTGGCTAAGATCAGGGGAATCTGACAGTGTTTGGCTTATTTCAGTTAGCGAATCTTTTAAGACTCATCCACATTGTGGCATGTACTGTTTCGGTCCTTCTTACAGCTAGGCAATATTTCACCGCATGTTCATACAGTGTATTCTTTAACTGATGAACACAGCTTCTAGCTACTGTGAATAACTGCCATACACGTTGCTGTATGGATATTTGGGTGAGTTTACTTCAGTTCTTTTCAAAGTGGAGTTAGTGGATCAAATGGCAATTCTAGGTCCAAGTATTTCAGAATCTATATGCTTTTTCCACAGCAGCTGCACAAGTTTATGTTTCCATTAGCAATGTACAAGGGTGCTAATTTCTCTACATCCTCCACAACACTTACTGCTATTGTATGTGCATGGCTTATGTGTATGTGCATATGCGCATGCATGTGTGGAGACCAGAGGTTAATGTCACGTGTTTTCTTCAATTTCTATCCCCCTATTTTTTGACAAGGTCTCTCCCTGAACCTGGAGCTCATCCATCCACTAGGCTGGCTGGCCAATGAGCTCCAGACATCCACTTAGGTCCCTCCTCCCCTACCAGTGCTGTGCTTAGAGGTGCTTGCAGCTGTGCCCAGCTTTTACATGGGTGTTAGGCACCCAAACACAGGTACTCATGCTTGCACAGCAGGTACTTTATGGAGTGAGCCATCTTCCCAGCACCCCCTCCTTTTTTCAATAATAGCCATTTTAATGGGAGTAACTGGCTTTTCCTTGTGGTCTTTATTTGCATCTCTGTAATGATTACTAATGGTCTTTTTATGTGCTTATTGGCTGGCTAGTTTGTATGCTGGAAAGTCCCCAAAGGAACACGAGTTAACGACTTGATCCCCAAAATGGCACTATGGGGAGGCAGAACCTTTAAGAGGTGGTCTACTAGGAGGACCTTGGGTCAACTGGAACACACTCTCAAAGAGAACTGAGACCTCAGCCCACTTCATTGCTCTTGAATCCCTAGTTCACAGTGTAAGCAGTTTTTGCTCTACTACGAGCTCCCAGAGTGATGTGCTGCCTTACCACAAACCCAAAGCAAAACTATGAGCCAAAAAAAACCCCTTATTTATAAGTTGATTATTTGGGGTATTATATTACTGTAACAGAAAGTTAACACTTTGGTCATGTTTGCAAAAATGATTCTGTAAATCATTTGAATACCCTATTTGAACTGGTTTACTCTGTTGTTGTTATGTTTTATACACACACACACACACACACACACACACACACACACAACTTTTTTTTTTTTTTTTTTAAAGAAAGGGTCTCTCGGGCTGGAGAGATGGCTCAGTGGTTAACAGCACTGCCTGTTTTTGCAGAAGAACCAGGTTCGAATCCCAGCACCCACACGGCACTACAACAGTCTGTAACTCCAGTTCCAGGGGATTCAACAGCCTCTTCTGTTCTCCATGGGCAT